AAAAAAGGAACTTACCACTAGGCAAGAAGATGCATTAAAGGCATTCAGTAACATTTATGCCTATACAGTGGTGCCTCGCTTGACGAGGATAATCCGTTCCAGCGAAATCGCTGTACAGCGAAATCCTTGTCAAGTGAAATAAAAAAAAGCCCATTGAAATGCATTGAAAACGGGTTCAATGCATTCCAATGGGCGAAATACCTCAGCGTCCAGCAAAGATCCTCCATAGGGTGGCCATTTTCCGATGCCTGTGCAGCGAAAAATCCATCCTGAACACAGTGGGGAGCCATTTTGAACAGCCGGAGGCCATTTTGAAAACCCGACAATCAGCTTCTTTGATCGTCATTATGCAAAGAATCAGTTCCCAAAGCAGGGAACCGATCGCCGTAAAGCAGATTTTGCCCATTAAAACATTGTTTCGCGATTGCAATAGTCATCGCAAAAACATCGCCGTGAAGCGGATTCGTTGTCAAGCGGGGTAATAGTTAAGCAGGGCACCACTGTAGTTGTGTCAGCCCTGAGGGGATTTAGACTTTTGTTTGTCAACCAAACTCTATTTGCAAAGATAAACAATTTTTTTTAAAAAGTTTTTTTCAGGTAAGTGATTTTGTGGGTGCTGTGGATCCACTCCAGGTTTTAGACTGGACTAATGCTACCTAGAGATATCCAAGATACTGAACTTATGAGGGCTTATGGTTGATTATACCTTTTTTAGCTTCTATAAATTCTAAAATCCAAATCAGATTCATTGCCCTCTTGAAACTGTAGTCACCAGTCTCCACTGGGTTTGAATATGGAGTTTACTGTTCATAATTTTTTTAAAACAGAGGATCGGTCAAAACAAGCATTTGAGATCTCTGTCTCTCTTTCTTAAACTGTACCACCAGAAATAATGGTAACAAAATGGAAAGAAATTGTCCACCAATTAAAAACGGAAAAGTAAAAGATTTTTCTTCTAGTTTTCTTCAGCATATATATCATCAAAACCTTTGTCCATTATCTGATGGGGTCACAGTGCTTGTGAAAGCAGCTTCTGCAGGCAGAGGTGGGGATGAGACAATCCCTCCCCCCTTACTGGGCTATGTTCTCTGAAAAATAAGTTCCAAAAGGCTGGAACTCCTGCGGAGCCAATTTCTGGGGATAGAAAAAGCTGCAAGGATTACAGGCCTAATATTCCTATGCTACTGCAAGCTCTACATTGGATTTTGACAATTTCTAACTATAACATGCATAAAAATTAACTTTTCAATAAGTTGACTGAATGAACTGCTCTCTAGTGAGGAATATTTCATATTTAATCAAACTGGCTAATTGCTTATATATCACATCTATTCATCATATTTTAAAGTTATTAATTCTAATCTTTCACTTAAATTTATACATTTTTATGCTTGAGTTATTTTATAAATGATTCTGTGACTTATAAGTGCATGGCTGCATGTATACTTCATTCTGCTACCAGTGGGATATCTCTAAGATGAGGTAAATGCTCATGTTCACTGTTCCTGTGAGAACAGTTTTTCATAAATAATTTGGTTGCTGAATGTATCCTGAACCATCTGTTAAGCAGAAAAAATATAGTTTTTGCTTCCGACCTGACTGAAAATACAAATATTACATTATAAAAATGAACTAAGATTGTTCCTTGGTGTTAGTGTAACTACATTGAAAAAGCCTGTTTCTTCTGTCTTCATATTATTCAGACAAAAACTGAATGAAAGTATTCTGAAATTCAAGGATGCAACACAAATCCACATAGACCAGCACCTAATGTAACACCAGTAATTGAACTGGGATTTTCGGAGAAGGTGCAGATATTTCTCCTCATTTACATTGCTCCATATGAAGCATTCTACTGAGGCGAATATGGAAGATTTCTAGTCACCATTATTAATCTATGAAAGCATTAGCCTTCACCTCTACCCTTTAACGGGGTAGCTAAAGCAAGCTACCAGAATTTTCAAAGCCTTTTAAGAGAAAAGAAAAAAAGACAATATCATTGGCACATAATTAGCTTTTACTGACTAAATGAGTAGATCATAATCCTTTAAATACAAAAGGATCAATAAAGTAATTGAAAGTCTCCTGGCCAGAAGGAGCCTTTATTTCCAAGGGTATTAAGGGTGAGACTAATACAGGCTTCCACGACATGAAGGCTACAGGTTAAATGAACAAGTAGGATATCCAGTAATCTATAAACTACTATATTGGCTTTGTAATTATAACATGTACACCAAATGAAACATTTCCAGAATTTTTAGAAGACTGCTTTAAATACATGCAGAAGAGCTTCACCTTGTGGAATGGTTCCACAGAGTACAACCAGTTCTTAGATACATTTTGAAAATGGTTACATGTATGAACTATTGCTTACTTGAAGAAAGTACTGTACCTAAGTAAATTGCTTAGCTTTTGCTTTATACCTGCAAAAGCAGACTGAAGATATTAGATGATGTTCATTACATTTTAAATTAGTGATTCAAATCATTTCGTAAAAAGTTATCCAATTGCTGACCAATACAAGAGACATTGTTAGGCAGTAAAAACACTACCTTTAAAATACAAAGCATGGCTTTACCTAGAAACAGAACAATCAGTGATAGGTTCAAATACAGACAGAAAACCACAAAACAACAATAAACTTGACCAATAATGAATAAATGAGAGGAAACTGAGATTGGCTTTTAATATTAAAAAGCGAAACTGTGTAGAACTAATAACTGAATTTTCTGTATTAAACTCATGCTGACAGGTATAGTGAAGCTTTTAGTATATTTGCATAATGAGTCATTATAAGTCTGAGATGCTTACCTAGTTTTCTTTTGAAGAAAACGGCCCAGATTGTTTTAGGTTTTTTTTTTTAGAAAAGATTTCATTTCTCCATGAGAGAAGGAGAGAATGATTTACATGGTATTTTTTCAAGGAAGCATATCTGAATTTCAAATATACAGAAAGCTCTTGCCACAATCCATAATCAGCAAGATTATCTCTCGGCTCAGCACATTTTATAACAGTTAGTAATCTCTTCTCATATGAATACTTGAGTTAAAAATAATTCCAATAGAAGCTACAAAACGTTGCAACTGAAGTAGAACTATATATAGTATAATTATGCACTTCTTTCTTTTTTGCTTATGTCATATGTTTTCACTTTCCACAGCCATTTCTATTGGATGTAAGCTGCTTTAGAGCAAACTAAATGGAGTCTAATGGAACCAGTAAGTTGCTTCACTGCTAAATCATTATCCAAAAGGGGGAGAAAAGGCTAAACAAAAAGCTAAAAAGACAACAGTTCAAAATATAATGCTTCAATACTTTATTTGGGTAAAGAGATATCCTCATATTGGAAAGTGGCCTTTCTAATTGGTACAAAAAAACCCCTGTAGTTTTGAAAAACAGGCACGAACAACTGAACTTGTTTATGTGGCTCTGAATTCACTGGAGAAAGGATATGATACAAACTTAACAAATAACAAAACCTACAAAGAGCATGATGTGAGCCTGATATAGTACAGATATATCACATAATATTACAGTACTAACATCTACCTGAACAGATGGAAAAATCAGTGACAGTTTATTAATTTTTCTTATATCTCTTTTTAAAAAATATTTTCCTTACATATATCTCTACTCTTATAAATTTATGGAGAATAAGACAGACTAGAAGCCTTGACTGGCTGAAGGAAGAATTCCCTATCATGGATATCCTTGAACCTAACTTGCTCCTTTCAGTTCCTGTTGCAGTAAATCTTTTCAGGACAAGCAGGTGCAAACATTAACAGCTCAGTGTTCTCTTGGCCAATATTTGTGCACTATATTTATTCCAATCACAGCCATGGCACTGAATCAGACAGCATTGTAGACAGATTTTAAGAAAAATACTGCTCTTCCATTAATTTAAAATGTCTCTTTCATCTACATGTAAATTTGAATTGTATGAAAATGCATCATTTTGTCATCAAGAATGAAAGAAGGGTAAGACATAAAGAGGTCACTGAGCAAAGGTTAGGCTTTAATTTCCAGAAACTAGCAGCATACTTGTAAAGATGCAAGGATATTGAAAAAATTATCTTTCCTTGTCATAAAAATACTATCATATTTTGAAAAAACAAAGAAAAACATCAGGCCCACATTCAGTCCACCATAACCTGCTGCTGATTCTCTCCACCCATCATTAATGATGAATATGTGCTTGCTGAAACCAGATTATTCAGAATCAGTGTATTTTAGATATTTTCATGGTAGGTTCAGGTATCTATAGGGCACATAAAAGTGGATCTGTATGTAACTCTCCATTTTTAATGGTAAAAATTAATCAAAGTCTGTCAGAAGATATTTAATGAGTCTGTTAAAAGAGAGTATTGCAGCCTTAGAATAGAATGAATTAGTAGCCAAATAGGAATTTTGGCTTCATTAGTTTTAGTGCTACTAACAATCCAAGTGTCATTATCACGATCTTTATACTGCTATTCTGACTTCAGCTGCCTGTATGCTATCTAGGTCTTAGTTCAACGAACTACTGCTGACCTTTTAAGTTCTCTCTGGCTTGGAAACAGGATGCCTTTCGCCATATATGCCTGTCGAAACACTAAAAGTGGCACATCAAATGCCCTTCATCAGATTCCTCTACCATTCAAGCACTAAGCATCTGAAATTTGATATTAGAGAAAGGGTCTTCTCAGGATAGTGCCGTATTATGGAGTACTCAGACATGCTCAGCTGGTACCTACCCTGATGTCATTTTTATGTCAAAGATCTTTTTTTAAAATTTTCTCTGACCTTTGAATTCATGTGGCTCTATTTTATGATGGCTGTGTTTATTAGTTTCATGTTGTTCCTAATGCCTTTTACTCTATATTTGTATAGCATGTTTTAATGTAGTTATTGTGTGTTGCCATTTAGTGTTTTATTCTTTATACCCTCACCGTTCTTCTATAATCAACACTCAACAAAAGCAAGATTTAAATAAAACAAATGCAATTAAAACATATACACAGGTCAAAGTATAACTGAAAGATCAACAATAAACCAAGGTCCTTACCAGGTATAACTCTTTTTTTTTAAAATGGATTTACCTCCTGTCAGAAGGAACCCTAAGAGGAGGCCATCCTGGCCTCCCTCAGCAAGTAATCCCAGAGTACTAAAGCAGCCACCAATAAACCTCTCTATATCTCTAGATGGTACTATAATAAATTCCTCTAAGAAATAAATAACAAAGGTTTATATGACATGAAGAGGCCATGGGTCAGATATAAGCCAGTGGCAGTTTCTTTCAAAAGTGGCTTCTCTAGCACATATAACTATATTGACTTCTCCCTGTTATTTTGTAATATAGAAATAACATAGGTTTTTTTTCTTTTCTTACCATCTGTAACTTCTAGCTGAGCCTTTGCTAAAATGCTTCCAGCAACAGTGAGTGCTTGGCAGATGTAATAGCCTGCATCAGACCGCTGAATATTGGTAATAGTGAGATCTCCTGTTGGTGACACTGATGACCTGGTGTTGGGCTGGAGAGGCTGGTTTGGGAAGAGAAGATTCTGCAAAGACGCATAATCAAAACCAGTGCAAAAAATATGAGTCACCAATGATTTTGAAAAACCTAGGACACAGTAATACAATAAGATAAGAGAGACACAAATCATATATTATTGTATGCCTTGCTAAGAGACAAGTGGTTGGTCACACGTTTATGTGGTGTTCACTTTGTAAATCAGACATAGAATATAGAATTCATGAGAAAAACTTTACTCTAAGAATGGATTTTTAACTCTTATAAAATACCAATTGGAGGTTATAATTGCTGTATCATTATTTGGAGGCATATGTGCCTGAGATGTTTTACTGAAAGCTATGTTGTTTGACACACAGAACAAAATATAGGAATCACACATAAATTATTGTGCTTCATAAGGAAATGTATTTAAGGAAGAAGTGTTAGGTAAAGCCTCCAATTCCTAATAAGTGTATTCATTGGCTGCTTTGGACTACAAGAGACTAACCAAATGGAGTGTGATTCCTGTTGAAGGCTTGTGACTTGTTGCAGCCACCCTCTCTAATCATATGTGACTGGTGAATTAGGTTGGCTTGCTCTACGTAGAAGTTACTATTCCATGCCATTCTGTTTTGGCTGGTTTGAGGGCATGAAAAAGTTAATAGACAAGTAAATCTAATGTCTTTGCTTTCTAAAATATTGTTTTAATGTGCGTACCTCACATTCCAATAGTTTCAACATAGGTTTTTTTTATTATCAAGTGGCTGTTCTGGCAGTTTTTGTTGTAGCTTTTATCTAGTCCCTATATTTTGCCCACAAGAAAAAGGGATCAAGAAGTAAATACATTCCCTGGGAATAAGGCTGGTACATTTTTGTGGCATACGACTGCTGTCCAGAGTGGTAGCTACTAAATATAAGAAATCAACTGCTGATGCATAAACTAGCACTAAGAAAAATCTTGGGAAATGGTCGCACTCCTTTCTAGTGGCTATACATAATAAGATAGGATGGAAGAAAAGGTCTCTTAAGTGAAAAATGTATTATGATTTATGGTGTGTGTACACTATACAGCTAATGTTAAATAGCTCAGTTTAACAGTGCCACATAACTATTATTTTAAGAAGAGTTTTCTTGACAAGGAGGGAAAGACAGCACTGCCAATGTAGACTGTAACTAGGCATTAAGATAAAAACATTAGGACACTTGGCACATTCTCATTCAGGCAAAACTAAAATATCATGCACTTAATTTTGATGATAAAATACAGTGACTGGACTTTTAAAAATATTTAATAGGTTGATGTCTCACTACAAAGCCTGGGCATTTTCATATTAGGATGGAAACATTAACCTGGTTAACCTCTGTTGCTTTACTGCAGCTCAATTAAGAAATAACATGTGAATATAATGAATCACACTGAACTATGTTTGATTATAAACAACGGAGGTATCAATTTTTATGTTACATTTACTTGCCAAAAATAAAAAATAAATAAACAAAACAGAACATTGTAACCCTCTGGGATCTGGTTTTCAAGATTGTAATTAATTTTGCAAGTTTGTAATTAAACAGCTTCAACATGTTACAATCAGTAGGTAATAACATTCAATTAAAGACACAAGACACATTTTCACCTTAAAATGTTTTACCCTTGAAGTAATACCAATGGAAGAGGATAAAATAGGGTATTAACACTTTTCAATTACGCTAAATGACTTTAATCCTGCAAATGATGTCCTACTTTAATTAGATGCTCTTCTCTTTATTACAACATGATGGATGTCCACTTTATTAGATTCAAGTGTGACACTATAAGCCCACTTTACATAAACATTACCATGTTATTAAGACCATTTTACAAGAAGGTTCTTAAAATGTTTGTGAACATTTCTTCTTTGTTTAATTTCAATAAAGGGGTTAGATTTCCTCGATGAAGGAATATTTTGTTGGGTACTATTCTCACTTCTCTTGACTGTGTGTGGTGACTGGAGGGGTTTTTCTCAGCAATCTTGCACTTTTCAAAAATACACTAGTTGCTTTCAAGCAGTTGTTTCACCATAAATACTGTATGATTTGTGTAATGAAGCAAAAGCAAGAACAACTAGCAATGATAGAAAAGGAATAGACCCATCAAAATGGCATACCTCCGGGTGTGAAATGAACTCGGGGTGAAGATAATACCTCTGCTTTTCTCTGTGCTAGGGTACTTATATATCCTGAATTCCCTGGAAGATCAAAGATAACAAGCATAGTTCCCTAATTTTAGCCTTATCAGATGTTTGAGCAAACAGACAATTCCTGGCAATCCTTGGGATTTTATTTATTTATTTATTTGGCCACTTTAGCCTACTCTGCTCCAAACTATACAGTTAGTAGCAAACACGATCCTGTGCTGCTCTGAATCTTGCTCATTTTCAAGTTAGAAAGGAGAGGAAAAACCCATCCAGTCACTATACATAGTTAAGAGAAGTGGCAATACTCCCTCTACCCAGCAACTCCCAACAAAAGTAGTAATGTAACGAACAACACTACCCATTGCTTTGAAAATTATAGTGCCAACAATTTGACCTTAGGGAACTTTTAAGGAGATGCAAAAGGGATCTTATTTTCAAAGTAATGTCCCAAGCCCTTACAGAAAAAATGGGGGGGGGGGAAGAGAGAGATGAATTCCAGCAAATCTGTAGAGTGGGCAATAACATTAGCATTACTTAAAAACTTGTTGAAAGAAAAAAACTTGTGTGGAATAAATAAATAAATAAATAAGTTTTAGGGAGACGAAGTTTTAGACAGTGATGGAGCATCCAAGCTGAAATATTAGAAAAGCAATCTGAAATATGAATTGGAACATTAGAAGAATGAATTGGGGTTAAAAGATATTTCTGAGTATCATCAATAACAAGTGTTACTGTAATCCATGGGTTCTACTATGTTGATCTGAGGACTATGGAAAAAAAGAGAAGACATCAGGGACCCAGAAGAGTATCCTGGGAACCCCCATGCCCCCCCAGCACAAGGAAACATAGATGAAAGATAACATCCCATTTTTGTTGTTTAGTCGTTAAGTTGTGTCCGACTCTTCGTGACCCCATGGACCACAGCACGCCAGGCCCTCCTGTCTTCTACTGCCTCCCTGAGTTGTCCAACCATCTCATCCTCTGTCGTCCCCTTCTCCTCTTGCCTCACACTTTCCCAACATCAGGGTCTTTTCCAAGGAGTCTTCTCTTCTCATGAGATGGCCAAAGTATTGGAGCCTCGGCTTCAGGATCTGTCCTTCCAGTGAGCACTCAAGATAGATTTGATTTCCTTTAGAATGGAAATTCCTTCAGAATGAATATATCTGTATCTAGTTCTAGATCCATCTATCTAAATCAAATGACCCTATAAATAAGAAGCAAACCAGCATAGGGGAGAATCAAAACATTCCAGATCACTAAAGGAATCCAACAAAAGAACATGATCAAGAATATGGACAATTAATTGTATAGCTAAAGCAGGAGAAGATGAAAAAGAGTAAAGAACATGTTTCTTCTGGAACAAAGTAAATCTCCCAGTATTATTTCTCAGTGAATAATGCCAGAAAGATGAAGGCAAAGGCAGAGCAGGAGTAAATTTGCTTGGCCAATACCAGACAAGAATCCCTCTCACCTCCCAGAGTAGTATGGGGAATGAAAGAGAAAGCTAGAGAATTTTAAACAATACTCTGTCTCTGTAGGCAATGCCCAAGGCAAGCCACTAGTGGAAGCAGCAGGTTTGTTTTGGCTAATGGCAGGCAGAAGAATGCAACCACAGAAAGGCAGAATCCAAGTGACAAACAGAGGAAGAAAATAAAAGAGCCTTGAAACAGTATGCCAAAATTACAGGAGGTACATGAGGAAAAAAAATTCCTTATTTCTCTTCTGCTTGGAGGAAATGGATTTTGTTTGAATATTGCTCATTGAAATGTCCTGTCATGTAGAGACAGTCCACATACAGAATAACAAAGAATGTTACAAGTATTCTTTTAAGCAAGTATATTTTCCTGTCCCTAGACTGCGCCACAGACAGGAAAAAATGCATCACAGTACTACCAGTTATATTACCAATCTCTTTCCTGGCATGGAATTTGCCTTTTTCAGAATAGCAATACACTGCAACAATATTTTAATTGAACTATCCATTACGAACTTAAAATCTAATCAGCACAGTTAGATCCCATAAGGGTTTATGAAACTAAAACACAGCAGCACTGACAGTGATGAAGTCAGTGAAAACATATTGAGAGGGGAAAGTTTATGAACATGCTAAGGTGAGGTGAAGATTTTGGCTTTCAAAAATAATGACTTCACAACAGGAATATTTGCATACATTTACCTACTATAGCACCATAATGATTTAGAAGAGGAAAAAGAGAACAGTAACATTCCCATTTAGAGGACTCACCTGGCTACCTTCTTTTTGCCAAAATACAGCTGGCTGGGGATTTCCTTTAGTTTCACAAGGAAAAGTCACTGTTCGGCCCTGGGCAACAATCTGATCACGTGGTCTTACCACGAACTGTGGAGGTGCTATGACATGAGAGGTGAAAATATGATATTAAGCAATGAAAATTCTTAGCAATTGTATGAAGTAGAGAAAAGAGAAAAGTGCTACAATGACAGTTGTACATTCTAGAGAACAAAACATTTTGCTTAGTAAAAGAAAACACACATTCTAAGATAAAAATAATAGCCAAAAGTTGACTTATACGCCTCAAAATGATTTTTTTGCCTAAATCCAAAATTAGTCCCATATTAGGGTCCTTCATATAAATGGGAGTTACCTTACGACTAATGATCAGTTCCCTTGCAATGGGTCTGCTATAGGCATGTGGAATAAATCTAGCCCAAAGAATAGTAATAGCATGCAATGGGGGACAAACGTTAATTTCTAATTATCAAACATTCTTCTATAAATACTCTGTGACTTGCCTGATCTCAATTAACAGCAAACTGTCCCTAACAACTAACATCATACAGATGATTGAAGTGGAAGATAACTATGGAATTATTCATCATTATTGACATTATGGACATTGATCAAGTCCCATGTATTAACCATCAGAATGCAAAGCTGTAGAATGAAATAGTGGAAGAAGGTAAATGAGCTGAAGCCATATACCCAATGGTACTTTGTTGGCTAAATCAACATAATCCATTTGGTCCTACTTTGATATCACAAGGACTTAACATATAATATCTATCATATATATGTATAAAGTAGCTTATAATGTACATAATGTTCATTTCCAGAGCTTTATTACATGGACTGGACAGTTTAACCATGAAATGGGCAAAATCCAGTTGTGCCAGTGTAACCTGGATTGAGTACTGGAACCATTTAATTAATTAATTAATTAATTAATTTGATTTATACCCCGCCTATCTGGGCTACCAGTCCACTCTAATTTAAGACCATGGAAGTTTCTCATTCTTCTAGTTTGTATTTAAGCTTCTGAGGCTCCCTAGGGTTCCCTTTTGCCCTGGGAAAGTCTTTAGGAGTCTCAGTATGGTGGGGACATGAGCCTTTAAAAGTCAAAAATCACTGCTGGATTGCTGCCCAGCTACTACCTTGGCTAGAAAATTAAAGGATACACAAAGTTGGGAATCTAAATGCCTAAATGTGAATCACATATACTTGTGAAAAGAACAGTTAAGTGAAGTATGTTGCCCTGCCATCCAGAATTCATCCACAAAAATTAAAACAACTGTTAAAAACACTGGTTGTACTACTTTATTAACATCTGATCATTTAAAGATTGATCATGTTCAAACACACATTGAAATAAACATGTACAGTGTAATGAACAAAGGTTTTGGCTATTAAGAAATTGCCACTCATTGCTTGTGGGCCAGCATTTAGAGAGTCATAAAAAACAGAATATAACTCATGTATGTGGCATTGCCATTTGTAAGTCAAAACCAATGGTTCTCAGAAAAAATACATTACATGCTTTTTGGAGAATGAAACAATATTAGACAACAACAACAAAAACAATTAAGATGAGAGGTCTGGGACATTTTCCCCTAGAAATACTGTTTTAGAGCAATGCAAATACTCTACACAGTAAATTAGATTTGATTTCTGGCAAATTATGCTTTGATATTGTGTTCAGCAAGCTCAGGCTTCAATCAATGTCATGCTAAAGCTCTGTTATGCTAATAGCAGCTTGGGAGGGCAAGTAAGCTGATATGGAAATGAGATGGTTGAACATGAATAGAATGCACAGGCCAAGTACGAGGTGGGTTTTGAGATGAGAGGATGGGACCCTAAGGTTAATCACATCATGTTCAGAGTTGTTTTTACAGCAGAAGATTGTATTCTATGGCAGGAATTAAAGTGAGGCAGTAAAATACGACTTGTATGTAATGGTACGCTACTAAAGAAGGTAACAATGCAACTCTTTTCTCTGTCTCTAGCTCCTTTTTTGTGTGTGTGCCAGAACAAGCAGATCTTTAAAATAGAATTTATAAAGTTGTAGTCATTTTAAACAACAACAACCATGCCCTGTTCCTAAGGTAATCTTTCACACTGGTCTTACAAGAAATGTTTTGAAATATTTCAAAAGAAACTTCTGGAGTTTTATGCGCCAATGGTTAGTGTAAGAATGCACAATCTATTTTTTGTTCAATACATTGATGTTATTTAATACAAAAATATGTTCAAGAATATGGGTTGCAAAGTATCATCCAGACAAAGGTACACTGAACCAATTCAACAATTATTGGCTGTACTGATAATCTCATGAAGATGAATGAGATAGGTACAATTTAGTAGCACAAAATGTGTCACATTAACCACTACATTAATTGGTAGGGAGTAAAAAGGAAGCAGCAAATGCAACTCTGACAATTTTCATTAAATTCATTAGAATATAAACAGACATATTAATTTAATGGAAACTGTGGTCATATCATCTCTCTCTTCCTGCCCCCCCCGTGTGTGTGTGTGTGTGTGTGAGAGAGAGAGAGAGAGAGAGAGAGAAAGAGAATGAGAGAGTGTCTCTGTGTGAGAGAGCACATACATGTGCACACATATATGCATATGTACATACACTCTAAAATATTAATAAGCTCTGTCACATAAGGATTAATCCAGTGGTAGCTGTACTCAAAAGGAAAAAAAAACTTATATTGAAATGTTACTCTTGAAAGACCAATGTAACAATGTCAAAATTAAGAAAGTGTTAATATCTAAAACCAATCTTTATGAAATGTAATTAATATTTCTTTGGAATGTAATTAATATTTCTTTGGAAGCCTTGCAGTTTAAACATAGGAGCTCATTTGAGACTTTCATGATTTATTAGCACCATGTTTACCTCAAAGGAAATGGTGTATCAAATGAGATATTTAATTCATGATGGAACTCATGTGCCTTCAGGCTGCAAGATCTAAAACAAATGCGTTCTAAAAGTCCGTTCCCTACTGCAGTGAATTTATTGTCTGAACAAGGACTGGAAGTTTAATTGTTTAAATCTTTAGACATTGAGATTCATTGCCTTAATAACCCACTTCTTCAAAAGCAGAGGTAGCTTATGTTTCTAAATCTGAAGTTCTGTTTATCCAATCCATCATGTCAGGAGTATAGTTAAGTTTAAAAATAGGAAACTATAATGCTGCTTTGAAGTTCAAGAATACTCCCATGAAATGATTCAGGTCCAGAATTTCAAGAACTTTGTTTCCGTTGTTGAAGTTAAAGTACACCTATAGGATACTGAAATAAAAAAAGGTCTCTAAGAGCACATACTTTGCATAGACTTCCAGATCCATTGCCAGGCAGCTCTAGGTAAGAGACTTCAGTAACCAGGACTTGGGAAAAGCTGTGCTTGAGTCCTCTGACATGAACTGAAAGTTGAGCAGCGCTTTATGATTTTCTTGTTTAGGCTAATTGTAGTGGATAGGAATAATGTTATGTTGACTACAGTTGATCATAGTGGAACTTAAATGTTCCTAATTATTTATATTTTACACACCTGGCAGAGTAATCAGATGCTGACATTTTTTGGGAAGATTAACACTCCTGTTTTGTTTTTTTCACTCCATGTTGGAGACATATTACATTCTTCAATTAAGTTTTCTCACAAGAGAACAAAACTATGGATTAAATTAATTTACCCTATTAAACTGTCACTCATTGTGTTTCGAATAAACTCTTTGCACTATATCAGTGAAACAAAAAGAAAAAAGGCTGAAAATGTTCATCTGAAAAAGTCTTCAAATGAGTGCAATGATAGAAGCAAATGGTCTAAACAGGAATAAATATCGAGCTTCTAGAACCCATCTGCTGCAAGCTCCTGAAGGAAATCTTTTCAAAAGCTTAAAATAAAAGAACAGCTATTTCAGAGATGAGCAATACAGATATTACTCATAATGTTTTGATTTGCTAATGGGAATCTGGTATTGAGCTGTTACATTCACCAGCTGCCATCTACCTCAGGCAGAACCATGCTTGATTTCGCATATGTACGCTGAGTACCATATGCTAAGAATGGCTTGCTTTGACCAAACAGACAGGAATAATTTAAGCTTAAATTGTCGCACCTGTTTAAAAGAAGGGTATGATAATAATAGATGAAGATTAAATATCTGAAATGATGAACAGTTATTCTGTATGCAGCACCATACATGCCCAAGGTATACTGCCAGGGAGGGAGATCACACTTAAAATGTTATAAAAGAACTATTTTTATTTCACTTGGAATATTGTAAAACAAAAATATCAATTTCAAAATCTTTATAAACTCTCTTTATAATCTTTCACTGTTAATACTGTAGGACAGTATCACCAATTCTCAAGTAAAGGGCAAAATGTTCTACATGATTTCAAAGTTCTGCAAATGTAGTACTTCATAAGAAAATGGAAGAAACATTGACACATTCTTTAATATTAAGAGCTCTTAGTTCAACCCTGTATAAATATTTTTCAATGGTTCTAATAAATCCTTGTACTTTAGAGATCATGCTAAAAATACAGATGCAAATGTTTCATTATTTTAAGAGGAAAATCAGGAACACAGTATTGAAGTATTGGAGCCAGCCATATTCATATGTACTAGTAGAATTGGTGAAATCAATGACATGTAATTAAGCCATGATTATTTTCAATTCCACTGATTTCAATGGATCTGTTTCTAAGTATGGATAAATCTGGTTCCAATCACTTGAAAACCCAATGAGAGTTATCTGAAGCCATTTTATGCCAATGGATCTTATTTTCATGGATTTCAGTTTGTCGTTTAAATCTGTAGCTGAAACTTTGCCTACTGTTTTACAGTTTGAAACATATCACTACTAACATTTATCCAAACAACAGCCAAAATATTTGGCTAGCCAAATAAAACAAATAATAACTCTGGTCATACAGGACATACAGCAAAAGAAGATAAGGTATGCTTTGGATAAATAGGAGCACTGGCTAATAAAGGTCCATCTTTCTATTAATTAAGGATAATCTGGGTCTGGAACAGACACAAAGTAGAAATAATATTTCTAGCACTTTGCTTGCACATCAGATAAGTAATACTGAAAAATATAATACTACATGGTTACAAAATGAAAGGTGAAAAACTGTATGAAACCATGCTAAAATGGATAAAAGGATGGTTACTTACCAACGGGGCGAGCTGGAGACATTACAATGGTGTGGTGAGAACATAACAAAATTAAAGAAAAAAAAGAAAATCTGTCAGAATGCATGGTGCGTAATGTTACAACTAACTCTGGATATGCAGTTGAAACTAAATTCACTTATGTTGCCCTGAATTAAATGCTTCTTTCTCTAATTCAAGTTAGATATTGCATTCATTGAAGCCAAGTTACCTGTACAGCACTTGAGAAACCTGTCTGAGATCAATCATTTAAGTAACATTGATAGTTTCATGTGACATCGTAAAATGCCATTGCTAATGCTTGGTGGGAGTGAAGCAGCTTTGTATTAGACCAGACATCTAGATCTTGACGAATATATCATTGAAACCTACCGACTGGCAAATGTCAATCCAATAAAAGACAAGCATCACTGTCTGATTTAAATACCAATTAAGTTTTAAGCATGGCTGGTCAAGACTGCACTTCAGTTTGGAGAAAAGCCCAAGGCACCATTTCCCCCTCATTCGGTAACAGACATGGAAGCTCACTTACTACATCCTTTCCCCAATCACTGACAGAGTTGATGAAAACATAACAAATAACTTTTGACTGCAGGGGTTTCAACTCAGTACCTCTTAACCACTGTTTCTGGTTTCTTTTAAAAATGTGGAGTGATCGACAGGTTATTTCTGTTTCAGATTCATACTAAGATGGAAAGCAGTTGCTGCAACAAGTTATTTCAATCTACCAGAAGTCTGTCACTACATTAGAGTTGCTGAGTTGTGGGGAGGGGGATGCTGTCAGTCCTGCTATTACTCAGTGTATTTTAAGGAACAGTTTAGGGCTGCACCGGTTATTTCCAGTGCAGGAAGAAGGAAACAGGTTAAATTCTCGTATCAAAGTAGCAAAATAATTGCCTAATCTTTCATTTTCTTTTAAGTTTCTGAAGCAAGATCTTTAAAAAACAACAATTCTATGTATTGCAATATATTTGAAGTATAATAATTCCCCATTTTCTGTACAGCACAAGTTTTATCCTACAGTGATGGTTCCTTTGAAAACTGCTATGCCCCTCAGTATACTCTGCACAGCAGTTAAGACCTTTATTTAATCAGTTTTCCATTTTGTAGGCAGCAGAGATAGGACAAGTAGTGTCAATTGCTGCTGTTATTCCTAATGATGACAGTAATGATAATTTGAAGTTTAGAGGGGTTTTTATTTATTTTTTTATTTACTTTTGTCCTAGTCCAGTGAAGTGGACCTTTTTGAGCCAGAGTGCCTAAACTGCAACACAAAACCAACTTATTTATTTCAAAGTGTCAACACTGCAATTAAACCTGAATACTGAGGATTTAGTTTAGAAAAGAACAACTGCCCCTGCATTGCAAGGGTTAAATGCTTCCCTCCCACAGGGGTGGAGAAATACTTACTGGTCCTTCAATTCCCCATTGGGCTAGACCAGTAATGGCCGCCATCTTACCCCTCTACTGGACCACTGCACCAGCAGAGGGCAATGCTGAAATCTGGGATTGGAGGACAGATACGTATTTCTTGATGGTGACTTTTAGTTCACGTGCCACAGGTTCACCATCCCTGTCCTAGTCTAAGCTCCTTAAGTAGCTTTCAACAACTACATAGGAAATTTGCTAGTATCTAACTAGTATATAAGAAATGAAAGTTTTAAATCAAAGGGTTTGAACAATTATCTGTACTATGGGCTTTCATCCAGATAATTATAGAAGAATCTATTTAATTCAGTTTAGTATCTTTATTCCATCTATGGGCAGATCCTTTGGGGAAGATTATAACTGAACAAGCTACTAATAGAAGCATGCCTCTGCCAGAAAGAAACTGTCACTGTCCATTTCCAACACAAATGCCCTTCAGACATCATGTATGCCATTCTCTAAGAAGCCTCATGGTGCAGTGGTTAAAACTGCTGTACTGCAGTCAAAACTGTACTCACGACCTGGGGTTCAATCCTAGGTTGCTGGCTCAAGGTTAACTCAGCCTTCTATCCTTCTGAGGTCATTAAAATTAATACCCAGCTCACCAGAGGGCGAGGGCAATGTGTAGCCTGCATAATTAATTTGTAAACCACCCAGAGAGAGCTTGAAGCAATATGGGGTATGTGAGCAGCACACTTAGCTCTTTTCTTTTGCTTTGCTCTGTTTTTCAGTAACCTACCTCAAAGAATTCACTGGATCTCAACCTCTAGAGAAGGCATGGAGGTTGTACATTTCATGTAACTCATACAAAAAAAATGTCATATGGACAATTACTGGAAATGTGAGCTGTAAATCTGGCAGTGTTCATTTGGATTTGAAAGAACTCTCACTGTAAAGCATTTAAGTGAACTTTCATGTCTTCCAAGTATTTGTTATCATTTTCATTCTATCTGAAAATTTCCCAGCGATGAGCCTATTTGTCAATAAGGAAGGTCCACTATGTTCACAGTAGATGTTCACAAGCTTGCAGTTACAGTGATATATGTGTTTTTATAAATACTATTCAACTATCATGTTTTTTCTTCTTTTTTAAAAGGCTTGACAGAATCCTGTTAGTAACAGCCACTGGTATAATTCTGTCAATGAAACTTTCAGAGACAAATTGTAAAAAGTTTAGGCATCTTTGTAGGCACCTCCTACCACATACCAATGACATGACTCAGTGTGTGAAAGAAAATGCCTACAATGGTTGTTTAACTTACATTAATTCACTGGCGGAGTTACACCAGAGGAAATATGCTATAGAATTCTACCCAATGTATTTGAAAAGACTGGCAGGGTTGTGGTTGTTGTTGTTTTTAGCTTGTTTTTTTTTCAAATGTAAGATTATGGTTGAGACTAGATTATTGTTTCAGGCTGCTATCTCAGGTATCTTGGAATATGTGCCATAACATTGATAGAACTTAACTTTGAAAAGATATACAAATATCAGAACATGCTTCTGAAAATACACTTAATATTTTATTGATTTCAGTGATACATGGCAGGCAGGCTTTGCTAAATGCACTTCATCACCACAAATTTCTGAAGATTTGAATTCTAAAGTAAGCTGACTTTGAGATTTGAGCTACATTGTTCTGTTTCATTGTTCAGGGATCTCAAGTTCGGAACACTTCATTACCATATAGCTTATATGGAAAGTCAGAATCTTTGTATAGATTCCACAGCTACTGACCTATTAAGAGGGATTGTACTATCCTTAGAAGAATCCACCTGTTGAACTAGGGTTTAAGAAGATGGGAGAAGTATGGCCCTTTCCCCCATGGAAAAGTCCAACACAATTATCAGCTGCTTCATAGGTATAGGATATCTGACCATAACAACTAGGTCAGATAGTGAAAGTTAGGAACTTCTTATACAGCAAGGGCAAAAACCTTTGCGTATAGGTGACTGATTATAACTTTGGCAATTTTGCAGCTATTACTGTGAATTCTATGGTTTTTTTAAAATTTCTTTGGCATCTTTATCTTTTGTCTGTATAGGAAGTAGCTCTGCCATTCAGTATGGCAACACTGTTAATACGTACTAGGGATGAAGCATGGGCATAACAATGCTGTATAAGAAAAACAATGGCTTCTGTAATTGTGACTCAATAAGTAGATCCATTTGAATCAATGGAACTTATGGAGGAGTTGACTCACCAAATTCCCACTGATTCAATGGGCCTACTCTAGTGTAACTTCCTATGTTAAGCAACAGGATTTCAGCTAATGTGTAATATTTACTGAAGAGCTAATAGGAAATGAAGAATAACTAACCAAGGACCTCGAGAACAGGCAGAAATATTACACAACTAAAATACATAGTACTATTCATGACTTTCAACACATGAACAATCCTAAGCACATTTACTTGCAAGTAAGCTCAGCTGAATAGAATGAGACATACTTTTAAGCAAAAACTGCATAGGACAAGACATCAAGTGTGTATTACTGGTATTATTAGTGTATTCTTATTAAAATATTCTGGCACTGGAAGTTCAAATCACAGCATCCCCATCATACACACAAATAGAATAATTTCTGTTACAGCTATTAAAAGCAATGGGGGTTTGAGTATCTGGCTTTTATTTCCAAACTTTCTAGACGTGTCACTTCAAATTTTACATTCCTTGGTTTTTCTAATCTATTTTTAAATCTCGAAAGTCTTACATATATTTGCAATATAACATTTCCCATTGTACTGAATAAACACTTTACCTATGGCTAGTTAAATTAGAAAGCCAGGAGGAAAGATAATGAGAAATCTTCTTTCATGTAGGAAAATCAATTAAATTATATATTTCCCTTTTCCACCTTAATTTGCTTAAGTTCAAGCTCCAGTGAGTCCAACAGATTCCTCTGTCCCCTTTGTTCTACTCACTACTCATATAGCTATGCCAAGCTTTATTGTGAATATTTTTTGTTTCTATAAAATATGCTATGAATGAAGTTATGAAGGAATATGAAATGTGCAGCTAACCAGTGACTAGTATTATTATGGGTTTTTTTTAAAAAACATACCTATAGGGGAATGATTCTATTTCTTTCCAAAAAGAAATCTTGTGTTTGCTCTTCTCAAACTATAACATGGAAACGTACTCATCAAATACAGTGTACATTGAGATCTTATGTTTTTAAAAAATTGCAGATTGAAACAGAAAACTTCTGCAAAACCTCTTATGTGAAGTAAATATTATCTGTAACATTTCAACAGCTGAATCATTACAAACCTCCTTTTCTTCATATTCAGATAACTCTCTCCCACCATTTTGTGAAATCACTAGGTTTATTTCTTTTCTTTTCTTTTCAGTTTAATCCTAATTCACCAAATCCAACTAAATCTGTATCTATGTACAGTATTAAAAGATGGAAATGGAAGCTGGCATCTTGGATGAGTTCCAAGTTGTAATAAAACAATCAACAAACACTCGGATTATTCTATTTAATGTATACATATAAAAAGAGCCCTTCTTAAAGCAAAAAAAAAGTTTCTTTAATCTTTTGTAACTCTGCCAAATCTTTAGAACACAAACTTGAAATAAAATATATTTGATATTCGTTTTTAATGTGTGCACCTAACATGTACAATACACAGTATTAACTCACAATATGAGTTATACTCATTACATTAAATAGTTTTTGCAGTTGACTACACAGAGAGAGAGAGGGAGGGAGGGAGGGAGAGAGAGACTAACATTTTCAGAAAGTAAGACTGCTTACTTACTACTGTTGATATATTCCTATTGCACAACTCTGGGTGGCCGGATTTTTCTTACTTCACCATTTATATAGTAAGCACTGAATTGAGACAGCTAATAAAGTTCACTGTAATGGTTAAAATGCTGGACTTGAAACAGACAGGTTCATATTAAGATCACATCTACTCCCAGAGTTGAGTGGCCTTGGACTAGTTGCTACCTCTCAGCCAAAGCTACTTTTAAGAGTTGTTGTGGGTATCGTTGTGAGATCAGAATCATAATGATCACCACCACCACCACCAATATTACTACTACTATACTTAATCTCATACTGGGATTCAGGTGGTATTATGGATTAAAATCTTGTTTATCCTGTTTATATACACAACAGTTTGTTGTGAATGCAGTTTTTTATTTTGCCAACACACAATGGAGAATTCACTACCCTCTTGTGCATGCAAGATGTTTTTAATCAGGTGAGCTGTGTCATGCATAAATGCAAGCCAGAGATTGCAGGAGCAACTACAAGGTAGTTTGCCTGACGAGCATATACATTCTGTGACTGCTGACAGCATTCTGGCCTTTATGAACTTTTGCCATGGTGATGTTAGGGATTCTGCAGTTAAAAAAAGAGTAAGTTTTCTGAGGTCTGCCAATGTTTGGTTAACTGTAAGAAAAACAAAAGCAGGCTCTATTACTCTTGAAATGACCCATTGCCATATGATTTGCAGGGTAAAATGCAGACTAAACTGAGGGTAAACAAAAGTAATCAGGGATAGATTCCATATCCTTGTAGGCAAAACACAGATGAAAACCTCTTTCCAATTTCCTTACTAAATCGATTCTTTCCTCCTTTTATCCACTCTCCATTTTGTATTTGGCACACAAAACAACTTCCCGACTCAAAAGACTTCCATGGCTCATGAGTTTAAATAATGCACTTTGTCCAGGTTTGAACATCCGCTCACTGAATGGCCTAAATGTATACCCATTGCTTCCAATATATTCCATCTTCCTGAGTAAAATAAAGCCATCACATATTTTCTTTATAGAAAATATGTCATCTGAATCCATCTATCTATCCTTACAAGACTTAGTTGTCTTTAATTTTTCATTGTTAATTTTACCACTGTAGGTACATATTTCCTATTTGTTATAGGTGAAAGTGCAGGTGCAGAACTTTCCAGAGGCATGTTAATTGGAAAATAAGTGTAAAGTGTGTGCTGTTTTACCTCAGAAATCTCAGAAATAAAATCTTACATACAGTGGTCAACAATCAGAATAGGTGAACCTTGTAGATATCAAAACAAAAAGTAAATATAATTGACCAAATTTAGGTTTTTCCCCCCTGTGAAACTCTTCTAAATCATGAGATTTCTCCTGGTGCAGACAATAGTCGTAGCTATTTTTTCAAAAGCTCAGATCACATTCTCTAATATAAATTCAGGATCCAAGAGTTTAAATGCTCTTCCCTCTCTTGCATCAGAAACTAAGAAGATTATTTGAGATATGCTTGTGGGTTACTGATAGACTACATGGTTTGCACATACAAAGTTCTCTGTCCAACTTTTGGCATGTTCACTAAAAGAAGTCTGGATTTCTCATCTGAAAGGTCCCCTTGCCTAAATGAAATACTGTACAGTATGGGTGGGTTGTATCTAACCCTACAAAGTAGTTCTGGCCCGTAGAGGTGCAAAAGAGATCCTCAGGTTAAAAAAAGCACACACCTTTTTTGTAGGGGGAAAACACATTGATTTTTGGTGGAGATCATAAAAGCAGCCCTCCAAGGTACAAGAACAGATGTGTGCAGGCCCTGGACTTCTTGAAATTGTCTACTCTGGACTACTGTGACTAATAGTTCTTGTGAGAACTCCTTATATCCTATAGTTTTCATATAACCTAGACTACAGTTTTCAACTAACTAATGGCCACAGAAAGAGAGATAGATAGATAATAAGAAGTTCTGGAAAAGAAAAGGTTCCATTTAATACATTTGAAAAAAAATCTGATCTCAATTATTTTGACAGATTATTCTTGAAATTATCAGATTTATATAGTAGCCTCTTTTGAATGTTTCAGTACTCACCCCGAACTGTGAGTGTGGCAGATGCTTCAACTTTTCCAACTCTGTTCTCAGCTATGCATGTATAGGTCCCCTCATCTGTACTCATAGCCTTTTTAATACGCAAGGTGTAGTCATCTTTGATGTCATATCTGAATTTGAAATAGAGAAGATAAGAATCACTGCTCAGCTTTAATTTTTCAGTGAGAATACACTAGCTTTATTCTATCTTGAATTCATTTCTGGAAGATAATTTATTGTGTGGAATTAGATAATTCTACTGACCATTAATCTTCATGACACTTTTATTGCACTATGCATTACTTAAAAACTTTACAGCCATAAAATTAGTATTGCTATGTTCATGTGGTATCAAGGCTTTATTAATAATATCATTCGCTCTGCCCTTGATCTGGAGCACTATGATAAAATAGAGTTAACACGCATCAGTTATCAGTATATGACATATCAGGTTTACCTCTAGTCTAACTACATGAGTTGCATATTTCACATCTGGTAATCTCAAAAATATCTTTAAAACATTTCAGCTTCATAGTAGTCTCTTAATAGCAGTAGCATTTATCTTTGATAGTAAGGGAAACATACTAATTAAAATTATAATGATAAATTTTGAAAAAGAGATAAATGAGAAATATGGACATCATTTAAATAATCTGAAAAATATGCTACACAGGATTTCATTAGAAAAAGGATTTTTCAAAATATGATAGACCCCCTCCCTTTCTTGGCTTATAAAAGTGCCAGGGGTGGGGGTAGTTACTGGCTGAATACGTTAGAGGAATGGTCAATGCCTCCCTGCAGTATGATAGGATCCCAGCATGTTTATAGTAGTAAGACCATTGCTGAAAAAGCCCTGCTTGAATCCCATGGTATTGGAGAATTGCTGGCCAAGTTTCTAATGTTCCATTCCTGGACAATTCCTGGGTACTAGAGCATGTGGTTGCTTCTCAACCTCAGGAGATTGTTGGATGAGACAAATTATCTACATCCATTTCAATCGCGTATCAGGTCTGGTTGTGGGATGGAACAGATTTGGTCACCTTAATTTGGGTGGAGATTGCAAGAGCGGCCCTTTCTGATCACTCTGAAAACAGGACATATATCCTTGTTGGTTCTGTTATATCTCTCAGCAGCTTTCAGTACCATCAGTCATGGTATCCTTCTTGGTCATCTCTCTTGGATGGCACTGTTTTATAGTGGTGGGGAACTCCTGGCTAACACTCTAGCTGTTGATCTGTGGAGTCCCTCAGGGTTATGTTTTGTTTCCAACTTTTTGGGGTCTCATGTCACCAATTTACAGATGGCATCCAACTCCTTATCTCTTTTCCTTGTAGATTCCAGGAAGTTACATAGATTCCAGGACATTATTTTGGTGTGACGTAAAGGAATGAGAGTGAATAAACTGAAACTTTATCTATTTACTTTTTTAAAAAAAAATCCCCACCTTTCCCCTTAAAAAGAACCAAGGTGCTTCCTAAAAAGAACTAATCAGAGATATTCCTGGTCAACTGAAAGACAGATTAGATCTAGAGATCCAGCCTGTCCAATGGTGGTACACTCCCCCTGAAAACACAGTCGTGAAGTTTGCGTGTGTTCCTGCCTTTTTCCCTGTGCCTAGATTTTCAAGTTTTAGGAGTGGTCAGGAGGGCATTTGCACAGTTAAAACTGGGGCATCAGTTCAGCCTGATATCTTGACACTGTTGGGAAAACATCCCTTCCTTGCTCATCCCTCATTACAAAGAAAAGAAGAAAAAGAAACATGGAGATCCCCTATGGACTTAAGTGCAGGGCCTCTTGCCTTTCAAAGTCTGTTCCCATAATCCAAGAGGAAAAACATCATCCAAACTGCACCTTCCTGTACCACATCCAAACTGCACCTTCCTGTTTGTTCCTTTAGTAATCAGCTTGTTAAACAAAATTATTTCAGCTTTTTTACATACATTGAAACAGTTCAGCATTTCTAACATCCATGTGGTTTTGTAAGCCCACATAATAAGAATATAATATAAAATAGGAGAAATAATACTGAATAAATACAATTATGGTGTTTAGTTTTGTGAAAACAGTTTATTTTCACTCAAGGTTGCAATTGTTACAACTTTTAAAAGCTCTATAGCCTGTTCTCTATAAGTCACTCAGCACAAAGTTGAAATCAGAACCTAAAAGTAGGTAGTTAAATGCCACATTCAGTTATTTTTATTCTTAAGTAATGTCTGCAATTATGTTTGCCTTGTACTAAACAGAAAAAAAATTATATGGGAACAGATGAAACAACATTACTGCATAGGAAATTCATAAAGTGCAGTGATTTTGATTTTGAAATTTAGCCGTCTGTGGATCATATAAATGAATGCAGACTTTGTTGGTGGTTTGATTAATGACAGTGGTACAACAATGTGCTGACAGTCCATGCCATGGAGACATTTTCCTCCCTCCTGATATGAAGTACTGCTGAAAAAAAATGCAACTCAATCAGGTTTGGCCCCCGGACATGTGCTAGCATCACTGTGCCATGAATTGAGATTGATTGTTAACCAGCTGTGACAAAGTGAAGTTGAAAGAGCTTTGTATTTTTCTTGGAGGAAAAACTAGAAAACTTAATTGTGCCAATACTTTCACAATCTGTAGGTCAAATCATTAATAATATAAAACAAGCAAATCTGAAATATCTAAATGTAGTTCAGATATAAGAATTTTGTGCTTTCAGCTATCATGAATTAGTGGTCAAGGTCTTGTATCTTACAGTATGTATTACATTGTCAGTCAAGCAATGTACACCTCAGTGACCAATTGTCACTACCCTGTTTCCCTGAAAATAAGACCTAACCTGAAAATAAGCCCTAGTATGATTTTTCAAGATGCTCATCATATAACCCCTATCCCAAAAATAAGCCCCAGTTAAGTGAAGCCCCACCCTCCACCATTGTGCAGCAACCAGAAGATGACATGACTGTATTTGAATAGATTGTTGTATATGAAAAAACGACAACACACCCTCCCCTGAAAATAAGTCCTAATGTGTTTTTTTGGAGCAAACATTAATATAAGACCCTGTCTTATTTTCAGCAAAGCATGGTACTTGAGGAGTCGGCATTTGTATTCCTCATCATGTAGCAATAATGTGATTTAGACACAATAAGGAATACAAGCTTCAGCTAGTGCTTTCTTAACTAGTAGCAATTCACCATTGAAATTTATGCTATTTAACCTATGGTATATGAGCATATGTAATAGGATTCTGGCCAGCAAATTTTAAAAATCAAAACCATCACTGAAATCCATGAATTATTTCTGCTATATAAAGCAACCTTGGGTTCTTTTTAAGAAGAAAGGTGGGATAAAAATATTTTAAATAAAATTAAATAAATAAAACCAGCAATATCACATTATTGTTTTTTGAACCACAGGAGCATTTGCTCAAGTTACAAAATGGTGTAGTCCTGTTTCTAGATACGTTCTAGAAATGCATCTAAGTTCATTATTTGCACAAGTACCTCACACAAATATTTTCGCATTTACTTATATTTTATATCATATTATATTTTATAATATATTTTTTGCTTTTGGATAGTTCTTTAAATAATAATGAGAGGGGGAAAAAACCCTATTTATCATAGATTACAGGAAGGTTCAGGGAGATCAGGAACTTTTCCTACTCCAGTTTTGCTACTGTAGACATCCCATGATGAGCTTGAGCTTTTTTTAAAAAAATTATCATGGCACATTGCACAACATGCCTGCATAGAATTTCCAGCCAGGCATATCAAAACAAACTTAATGATACGGAACAAGGCAACAAGGCTGTAGCATCACTGAAAGTCACTGGGGTGAAGGTACTTGGCTCCAAATTATTTGCCTGAGAAGATGAGAAAGAGGAGGCCTAGATTCCAAACTTCATGTGCTATTTATTTAAAAAAATGAATGTCCCACCTGCTATTTAGTAGCATATGATCTCTAAGGTCATAGCATACTATCATACCTAATCTAATCAATGGCTCACAGTACATCTCATCAACTGTGTATAAAAACCTCCAAGATTCATGAACTACTTAGGTCTTGCAAACTAAAGATTGTAGTTCCATCATTGAGTCAGTTCATCTCATGTTAGGTTTCTCCTACTACTACTGCCTTCAACTCTTCCTAGCACTTTATTTTTCAGAGTAAGTCATGTCTTCGTGTGATAGAGCCAAAGCATAATATCCTATGTTTAGTCATTTTTGCTTCTAGTAAGACTCCAACATTGATCTGATCTAGAACCCACCTTAACAAAAACATGGATGGATAATTTAAATCCCACTTTTTGCAAGCTATCCCCTTACATAGATTTTAATTATCATTTCTACCCCCCCTCCCAGCACTCTTCTCGTGGAAAATATCTGCTACATATATAATAACAAGAAACAAACATTTTCTTTGTGTGGTCACATTTAATTATGGATATTTATGTATCTGCAGAATGTGCCAGTGTGCTACTGCTATGCAAGCAAGTCAGTTGTTTAAAAGCTAGTGATGAAGAAAAATGATAGTAGGCATGCAGCTTTATGAAACATTATATCATATTCAGCAAAATGTGCAAGACAACAAGGCTATTTGTCTTCCCCAATAGGACCAGTCTACCCTAAATAGTCAATCTTGCTCCTCCTACATCATACTGCACACCTTTGAAAGCTGCTCCGGAGAGCTAAGGAATCTTCTAGGACAGGTTTCTGATACCTCAGAGGGCTATGTTAGTAGGAAGTGAAGGGAGATGTCATCCCAGTTCTCCTGAGGTGAACAATGCAATTCAGCAGAAATTCAATGCTGGATCCTATCCACTGCCTGCAGAACTAGTTTGATAACATTTTGCAGTTTGTATACATATTGTCTCAATAAATTACAAAACTTTGGACCTCTTTCCTCTCTTTTTTTGGAGATATAACTCAAAATAAATAACATATCATTGATCTGTCATGTAATTAAATCACAGTCATACCACTCTGCCATCTTTGCATTGCCTTTGGTATAACTCACAGGCTAATTGCCTTCTTTTTCTTTCAAACAAAGAGTTATGGGCTGGATTTTTCAGTTCCCAGTGCAAGGTGAAAAGATCAAAATTCTTCTAGGAAATCTAAGAGGAAGTTTCCTTCATGTA